GGTATGTGAACGTTTCATGGTGACTTTTTAACTGTTTACAAGTCCCTGAAAATCTCTACAAAAAGTAATTGTATTTACAAGATTATGAGTAACCTTGAGATTTCAGATGCTTCCGGAAATCATACTAAGGACGGTAATGAAGTCGATAATCAGCTGATTAGCATAATGAAAATATAATTGAAGAATCTTTCAGCAATTTATCAAGAACACTTATTTATTGAAGTATTACTATTTTTTAATGACTTATACGAGGTATTCTCGAAAATTTTCAACAAAAAAGCAAATCAAAATAAGTAACTTCTATGACCAACTATATGATTCTCTATAATAATACTAGATCAGATATCAAATGATAAATTGCCATATATTGTTGATAGATTAATAATAGTATTAAGACGAATCTTGATTGGAATCACGTTTAACCGTCTGGAAAAATAATTATACAGCAATGAAAATCTAAGTGAAGTATTAATTCAATCGAAATGTTTTCACTAGTGTGAACGAATCAAGAAAGTCATTTTATATAAAATTATACTGATGAAGATATGATTCATAGAGGAGAAGAACACAAACAGTCCTAACATAATTCTAAATTCACAAATGACTGATAAGATTAGAATAGCAGGATGAATGTATGTAACACATACGAAATTATATTTAGTCAATTGTTGATAGAATGGTGAACTTTCAACATGGCAAACTTCATAGATCACGTGACTTCTAGCTAGAACTTCAACAAATCTATTGCAATCCAAACTGTTAATGGGCATGATGTTACAATTAATTGCTCATTTAGTTCACTCTAACGTCCAACAGATATAGGTTTCTTAATTAAAACTTCAATTTAATGAATGTTTTAGTTTCTAAGTAGTTATTTGATGTAATCTGTTTATATACTGAAGGTTGATCAAAAGTATTTCGATGTACAGTTGAAACCTGAGTCCTGAAATACGAATCCATAGTGGCTGATTCCTAAACATGTCTCACCATTGTTCATAAATACTTATGGATTTCATGTAGTATCATCCTCGTTCATAGCTGCAATAAACTGGTTGAGTTTCGCTTATTAACCGGAATGTGTTGTAGGTTGAGTTAAAAAGTTCTTAGGATTATAGTGTGTATACCTCATTTGGATTCTTTGTTTTCATGTATCCTGTGTTGTGCAGTCAAATTACTCTAAAATATTTTTAGTGCAACAAAACCTTTATTTAATATATTCTTGATTTGTAACAATTTTCTTAACGAAAATGGGCAATATTCTGTTTTATGAACGATAGTTAAGGATGTGAATAACAACGATACGCACTACTAAAAAGTCATGTATAAGGAAGAAACAGCTGTTTAGTGATATCTGCTTCTTGGTAGTTCCAATTCATTAACAAATCAGAAAGATCATGCACAAATATAGGACCAGAGAGGGAGAGACAATCAAAGTAAAAGAGCGGACAATAATAGGTTATAGGTCAACAGTAACCAGTCAAGATCAACGTTGACAGGAGACTGTTTGTCATATATATACATTTTCGAACACCATACTTCTATATGAAGATTGTGCTGATGATTTTACTCGAAGGAACAATGAAAGCTACATGAATAAACCTTCTAACTCAGAAGACAAAACTCCAAATCTACATGCGATACGACTAATAATCTATTTATTTTACATTCTCCCATGTTATCCTCAAATAATTCCAAGGTTATTTTAATTAATGTAAATAATTCAGTCACTTGCTATCTTGCCTATATCATGTTTTTATGATTAAGAAAATAGGTGATATCAATTTAACCAATTAAAGAAACCGGCTTTCGCCGCGTATATACATAGATAAAGTAGGAATTGACTATTTAATTCAGAAGAACATAATGATAATGATAATAATAACTTCTGCTTAGATATAGAAGTACAGTTATGGGTAAATAATGATATGAAATATAATAGCCACTGTAATGAATTTATTTCATCAAGATCAAATAAGAAGTGGCATGATAATAGGCAAAAGACAATATTTGAATCCTAATAAAATGAAAAGTGGGTTGCATGAAAATAGTTTATCCTATGTATTCTATGTGTAAATATATATAATAACTAGACGAACTAAGGTCCCAAATCTAATCCTCTTCAATAACCTTTCCACTCGCAAAATAAAACTTGTCCCATCACTGTTTGCATTGTTTAGAATATCACCAGGAGATCTCAGACACCAGTTAGTTCATTTTTTCAAGTATGATTGTTTCTTTAATGTTCTAATGTCATACTCATGTAATTATTTTAGATTTTGGGGACGAACAGAAATAGCGGGGCCTTGATAAATCTGGTGAGGGATGATCTAGTGTAATTGTCTAATTATTAATACGAAATTCGTGGAAAATCACTAATGAATGTTCAACTATATGGTCATCATATACCAACTATCTATCAATTAACATCTAGATAAAGACAGAGAAACAGTGACTAAGAAAGTAAGTCTTTATATACATTGTTAATGGTCGGTCGGGATATATATTATATATGTGTATCTATATACATACGTAAAACTTGAACTTTGCATAGTACTATTTTGCAATCTCAGTCCGTGTAGATTATTAGACAGACTGGTTTTAAGGCGAATAAGTACACGAATATATGTTGGAAAATTTGTGGTATTCATTTTGCCTGAATAAAAATTTCTTGGAAGGTTCAGTATTAAGAAGTGCAAATAACAAACAGACTTCTCTTTCAAGATATAAATAAAAATTATTTACATACCATTTCGGTTTAAATACCATAGTTTTATTTACATTGATATGTGTGAAACGCAATGTTTTAAATTTTTCCGTGTACATATCTTTGTCTATGTATTTTGAGTGTGAAGAATTTGAAAACTAGCGGTCTTCTTTTCCGAAAACAACGAGTTTTACATATCTTGGTTCAGTAAAATATCGCTTATCAACGGAAAAACATCTCATATTTATCATGCTACTTTTAACACGTGTGAGTTGTTTAAAGAAATTAGTTTAATTTCATTAATGAGTGAAGATTTATGTTGAGAAACTTGGAGATGGGATTTCAAACATCCCAATATGAATGTTGGACAAATAAAGGATGAGCCAGAGATTTAACAACGAGCTCGAATGAGAATCATGCTAAATTACCGGATTAACTGAAGTGAGAAATAAAGGGAGACTACTGGGTTCTGACTCATTGAACGAATCCCTATTATGCTTATTATACGAATACTTAGGTTCGATACTGTTGTGGAATTAAGAATGATACTAGTCTCTAATAAAAAAATATGTTCATATTTATAATATTTTCACAAAACTACGTTGATATACTTGTTATTATTTCGCTAAAAGATCAATTTTCTTAAAAAGTTTATGAAAAATATGAGAATGAGATCACATAAATGGTAATAATAAAAGGAATAATAATAATCATACATATTTACTAAAATCCATTTGATTTTATATGACTGTATTAACATCAAATGTTGCGAATACAACGTCATGCGTGTAAATATTGAATGTAATTCATTTGAGAAGGCTTATATTCATTAGGCTTCGAACTTTGGTTAGTTAAAAGCTGATGATTGCAACGTGCTGTCCAAATCAAAGTAAATGAATCAGGGTTGGAACCTGTCACCTACTAACTGAGAACAGAGTACTCTAGCTGTTGAATCACACCCCCACTTCAACCTCATATATATATATATATATATATATATATATATATATATATATATATATGCTCCTTGTCTATCGATAGTGAACACTAACAACATTCAATTCATGTTAATAAACATGATCATGTTACCAAATGATGTATGTAGAGTTTTTTTGGAAAAACAAAACAATTACAACGATATATCGAAAATAATTTTATAAGAATCTGATAACATTCCATTATCATATTAGATATCATGGATTACTACCATTATAAACTTTGTTATGTATTAACATTTCATAATGAAACAAAAATATTTTCAATGTTATCTGTAATCATTATTTGAATGGAAGTTATAAATATAAATGAATGGAGCATAATTGACTAACTTATTTTAGGCAAAAAAAACAGTACTCATTTAGTAATAGTCTGTTTAAACATTCCAATAAATATTGATTGGAAAACAGGAACTTTACAAAACAAATAGAAGTCAATTAAAGAATTAATTATGAGGTAGAATTTTACGTACGAATTGACAGTTGTTAACATGACTCAGAATAATGCTAATTGACAGATGATTGTATGAAATGATGCGAAGTATATCTAATTGATGATGGCTACATACTTATTACAAGCCTGACTCGAAATCGAAACACCGCCACAAACTAGGAAAATAGGTTTTCTATGTAATAAAAGGACGGGCTTATATACAATATATTAATGATGAACATAAGTGAAAGTTATAGAGTGCGAGAGAAAATCAGTTTTGCAGGTCACTAACTGATCACTTATTTAAGATCTCCATAATATCAGAAATGGATAGACCTATTCTATCCAAATTAACGAAAAACTACAGGTTCAATAAAGGTTATCTATATGTAATGAATTTTGTAGGTGTCATCTCGTTTAAGCTAGGTGCTTTAGCTAAGAAGCTTTTATTGTCTTTTTAGACAACACTATCAGCATAGACTACAGAATGAAGGGTTATTAGGATTTGTGAAAGTACTAATTCCATGAGGAAATGTGAACACAAATAACCAAGATGACGTAATAGAAAGATTGTAAGACTAGATTACGCAATACGAATAGTAACAATAGATTTAGTGAATATTATAAGATGATTAAAATGTTTTTGTTACAATTTTAATCATCTTATTATGTTCACTGAATCTATTGTTACTATTCGTATTACGTAATCTAGTATTATAATCTTTCTATTACGTCATCTCCTTTATTAGGATATCCCAACAACAGACTACACATTTATTCTCATAATGTGTTTTTATATATTTATATAGTTATTTTAGTTATCTTTTTATGACTAAACCAACCAGTTCAGTGCACACAATCCTAAAATCCTCATCTTAAATTACAAATATTCTCCATAACATATCACTGAATTTGAATATACATTTGTGCACTAGTTTAATGGATCAGTTTTAATTTAATTCCTTTAAACAATGTATTCATACTATTCATATTTGATGAACTTGTCAAGTGATATGATACAGTTAACAACCAGTAAGCCACAAACATTTTTCCATTCTGTTTCTATCAGTGATAACTTCAATGAAGATTAGTTATGAGTGATTGGAACGTTTCTTCAATAATGAAATACATTTTCAACGAAATTTATGCTAATACACCTTATGAATGATGGACAACTACACATACTTGTCATGGTCAACATCAAAGATTACACCTTTAAATTTAATAGATCCAATAGTAACAGAATCCAAATTTTGAAATAAACAAAAAAAACTTTATCTCATCAAAGTTTTTCTTAACAAAATGTGTCAGTAAATGATTCTTTTTTTTCTATCTCTCTTTCAAATACACAACCTTTAAAATGAAAATTTACTGTTAATCAGAAATAACAAAAGAAAAAAATAGACGAAAAAAAACACAAGATTTCGAATACTACCACTAGTGAACTAATCAATCAACTAGAATGGGTTTCGAACACAACCAGAGACTAAAATGTGAAATAGTAACCAAAGGATAATCTTTTTAATATATAAATATAATGGTTATTTTCTGTAAAATATACTTGTAGTCATCATAAACAAGAAGAAATGAAAATGAGACAAAAGTCATAAGCATTAGAACATACACACAAATACATAGATAGAATGAAACACGAATAATACATAATGAACAGAAGTAATAAACGTGTGGATCAGATACAAGCAAAAACACACACACACAAAAAACATAAAATTAATTAAATTAGGCTTACAAATAAGAAAATTATACAGACCACATGATGAACAATGAAGTGGAGATAGTAATTAATCAACATTCAACATGAAACAAGTATTATGTTTGTTTCAAATGATCAAGGATAAAGAAAGCAAGTGTAGTAGTAGAAGTACAATTATCAGGTAAATTAAAATAAATCAACTTTCATGAGATTCTATGTATGTATAAATATAGATTATATTAGTTGTTTTGTAAGTAAATGTACACATTATTATATACATATTACATCTGCAAATATTAAAAGAAATCAAACAGGACATATTAAATCAAAGATAAAAGGAGAGAGTATTCAAATTGTGCAATATGTAATCCATGTGTGATAAGAAGATAGAGAGAGAAAGAGGATGGGATGAATCATGTATATGTGTTGTTCAAATGAGAGATGAAAGTTAATCTCATCGATATCAAAAAATACAAATATACTACTTAAAACTAAAAACAATTTGAGATCTGATTGAATTTACTGGTTAAATCATCAATCCATTCGAAAGTATAAATCCACTAAACATTAAAAATTGGATGCTTTTTTATAAATAAAAAAACAAAACAAAGAAGAAATCATATGATTGAATGAAATCTAAAATGTATGAATATTTTCTGTAAGCAGATTGATTCATGTATACATTACAGTGGAGTAGAATATGCATATGTCATCATCAGCAACAGTGGAATTGTTGAAATTGTATGAAACAATTTCCAAAAGTGATTGAATTGAATATCGGTTATTCTGTAGAGATCAAAAGATAAATAATAAACAGATATTTCATACACACAGTTCCCATCATCATTTTGAAAAGCGTAAGAACAAAGATTCTAGCAGAATAGCATGAATTTCTCAAGCATGAATTTATTTTATTTCGTAGGTTCTCGTCAGCTGCTGACAACCTGTGATATTTATAAATCATAATTGCATAATGGGTTGAAATTACTTACATCAAAGAGTTTGGTTGGAAGTTATATTGAAGACACATTAGTATAATATAGCAAGAGTGTAAATAAATTTAATAGACTGAATACCGTGAATATATACTTTATGTGAAGAACATTCTACAACATTGATCGTGACAACAGTTCAAAGGGCTAGAAACAAGTGATTATATAATGAATAAATATTGATAGAAATATAATGAGTAGAGCTCAGTTGATAAAATAAGATTATATAATTTAGATAATTTAAATAAAACTCAATGTTGTAATAAATGCAGGAAACAGTTTAAAGAAAAGGAAAAAAATATTAAGATGCACCAAAGGAATATTTGTCATCAAGGTCATCAGGTAGATGCCTTGCAATCCTTTAAGTTGATTAGTAAGCAACCAAACTCCAGTCTTATGAAGTTTGTTGAAGCCGTTGCCATCAGGCGTCAAAAACCTGACTTACGTGTTCAAAAGGAGATGGTTATTAATCCTTCCTTGCCTTGGTGACAATATTCCTTCGCTGTATCTTAATAATTTTTCCTTTTCTTTAAACTGTTTCCTGCATTTATTACAACATTGAGTTTTATTTAAATTATCTAAATTATATAATCTTATTTTATTAACTGAGCTCTACTCATTATATTTCTATCAATATTTATTCATTATATAATCACTTGTTTCTAGCCCTTTGAACTGTTGTCACGATCAATGTTGTAGAATGTTCTTCACATAAAGTATATATTCACGGTATTCAGTCTATTAAATTTATTTACACTCTTGCTATATTATACTAATGTGTCTTCAATATAACTTCCAACCAAACTCTTTGATGTAAGTAATTTCAACCCATTATGCAATTATGATTTATAAATATCACAGGTTGTCAGCAGCTGACGAGAACCTACGAAATAAAATAAATTCATGCTTGAGAAATTCATGCTATTCTGCTAGAATCTTTGTTCTTGCTCTTTTCAATAAACAGATAAGCAACTTAATACATTTGTTTTAACAGAAGAAACTTCATTTGAATAAGATCTTTCACAGTTAGACCCTAATTATTATGATGTGAGACCTTCGTAAAATCTAGATTGATGTTTAAAGAATGTTAGTATACATCATAACACAGCACGTGTATTGTATTACACGACATGGTACACAGAATTAGTTGTAAAACGATTACAATACAATCCATGATACTGAACAGACAAATTTTGATAAGTTAAATACATATTTAACTTGTTTTTTTAAAGACCTAATCAACTGTGTATATTCCTCGTTTAAATTATGAACAGTGAGTGTACTCCAGATAAGCGTTAACGAATTCTATTAATTGTAGCTAATTATTAAATAGTTTGTTACGTAATTGTATATTTTATTATGATCAAACCTGTAAATGGATTTCAGAAGAATGTTTGAAATTTTTCTAAAATACAATAATTACCACTAAAAGTGGAATTAAACAATATTTTTTCTTAGTTTCTGTGTATTGTATTCAGTAAATCCAACTATTTGATTTGACTACATGACACTACTTACAAATTTAAAAAGTAGCATGTGACTCACCAAATAAAATTAATCAAGTTAAGTAAAATTAAAGCAAAACGAATATACTTTCGTTGAATAGAATTAAAACGACGTGTAATATAAAAAAACAACAACACAAGGTCCAGTAAACTCTAGAAATATGCACCATATTTGCGCAAATATATGTAACAATCAGGAGGAAACTAAGGAGTTCAAAACAACGCTTCCCATCGACTACCACAAGCTACCTGACACTATTCACTTAAAAATAAACAGAAAAGATCTTGAAGATGTAAATAAGAAGTACCATTACAATCACTTACTGTGCTCTATTAATGTTTATTATCATTATTATTACCACTATTACCGCGAATCGCGTCAAAAGCAGCACCGAAAAGAATATCATCATCATAATCATTAGTAGCAGTAGTATCAACATTATCGACAGTTTTCGTGATATTTTTATTATTATGTATCATGGTTTGATTACATTGAATATGTTGTAAAGGTGTAGATGAAGACAGTGTTGATGATAAGTGCTGCTGTTGTTGTGATAGTGACAGAAAATTTTCGGAATTCCCACTAGATGATAAATATTGAACACCAAGAGTGGTAGTTGTACTAGTAGTAGTTGGTTGGTCTATTACATTTAAACGTGGCGATATTGACATTTCAGTTTTTCTTGAACTGAAGTGGCAGCAAGAAATGTGTAAAACAAAATTAGAGAATAGTTTTTTAAGGAAATCTTAAATTTATATTATTGATATGTACAGAAATAAATACTCCGATGAATAAATGAAATAGGTGGAATTTTGAGAATTATCTTACATATTTTTATTGTGTATTAAGGGTATTTTTACATTACCCTAATTGTAATCTTTTACCGAGATCGGTACCAATTGACATATTATTTTATTGCCTATAAATTACCGCTAATTAATTATATATTTACTATTCAGTTTTTTTACTACAAATGACCCATTTATGTACAGACCGTTATTTCCCATTTCTGTTGAGCTGTATTTTTGCAATCGATACCTATTATCATGTGAGTCGTCAAAATATACAGAGTAAATCGATTGACTTTGCTCGTGTTCTCATAAAAGTGAGCTAGTGTCAGGAAGAATTCACTTTTGTTTACTTGCGTGAAGCTATTTAGGCGTTAGCATACTTAGTAGGTACAATAGTTAAGTGAAAGTCATTAGTATTATTGATGTAAGGGGAACTTAATATGTTAGCTTTCACGTTAAATGGACATATAGAAGTAAAAATCTATCTATAGGATAGTCTAAAATATAGATTGCATACAGAACATCTTGATGATAACTGGTGAAAACATTCAGAAATGTCAATTATACGAAGTCGAACCGACTTACAGAATCTGTCTAATTGAAACCGCAACAGCGAGCTTTACGGAATTGAGTATCACAAAGAGACTTTGTTCGATGAATATTATAGTGGGCGGGATTTTAATTATAGTAATCAATTAGAAAGACAGTTGGATCCAGGTGTGGAAACTGAAATAAAGAGGGCTCTTTCTATTGTTAATATTATTCCTTCAGTCATACAGTGGAGTAAGTCGTGGCTCGAATAACTCAGTGATAAGGTTTTAGACTATGAAGCTGAGTGATACGGGTTCAAATCCGTCAGGAAATACCAGTTCCCATAAAGTTGAATTTACGCGCCTTTATTGTTGACAGTTGCCAACTAGTAAGAAACTCAAAGTAGAATAGGTTTTCCTGCCAACTATCTCCAAATATCTCATATCAATGCCCTAACCAGATAACTAGATATAAAAAAACTAATGGCATCTAAACGAGCAGAATCACTCAATCAACTTGAAAATATCACACATACCTTGAAATAACATTGCCTACACTAGTGTATTCAATAGTTGAGCAACTATTTGCCACTGAATCAAATGATTGAGATATTTGCGACAAAGATGCTAAACTTTGTATATGACGTAAATTTGGAGAGAAAATTTTCAAAAATGACGATGTATCACTTGGACAACGTTTATGTCCCAGTAACTAAAAGGCAACAAAATAAACAAAGGAATATTGCATAGAAGAAACGAATGATATTTATTTAACACATAGAGGTCTCCATACTTGGAGATCTAGGTAAAAATTTAGTTTAATGAAATACATTGATATACAATTTAGTTGTACAAACCAAAGTATATGGATGAGTATCATATCTAGAATACTAATAGTCGAAATTATGCTAGTGCCGGAAGAAAGTTGAGACCCAGCCAATCGAGGATGTGGCATCAGTTCATGAAGTCATTTATTGTTAAATTAGAAAGTGTTGTTCAGTAAAAATTACCAGGTTTGGGTCCATGTAATTATCGTAACTGATTACTAACGACATTGGGTGATATGACTCAGAATCAGTTAAAATAACTCAGATAAATTTATTCTTTGTGCTTCTCATAGATCTTATGTATAAATTATCTACTTTTTATTCAACGAGTTTACTCTTTCGTCATGGATACTATTGTCTACATTAAATGTTCTCTACTACTATTGATACTGTTTCTACTTCCATTACTCTAATATTTGTCTTAATGATTTTATTGCATTATGCTAATGTGGTATGACAACATGAATCTATGGATATATGTTCCAGGTTGTATACTATATGTGACTGACCATTTGTTTATTTATTTGAACACATCAAATTTGGTACAAGGGGTTATCAAACATATATGCTCCACACAATAGTAGTGCATATCAACGACCTAACCACTAAGAATCAAACCCCGAACCTTCGATCTCTCGCGAGAATGCTTAACTTCTAGATCACTGGGGCAGAATCTAACAGTGTTCATGTCTGACTACAATCAATCCGTGATATTGCTCGACTATTTTAGGTCAGTTCGTGATTTAAATAACAGTTCATAACCTCTATACTGTTAATTAATTAGAATTATGACAACAAAGAACTGATAATTAAACAAATAATTCAAATATTCTTATGTTTTCTATCATTTCTCCGTGAAACGTTTGCACATACAATAAATAACCTATCTAATGAACCTATATATAATGTAATAAATAAAAAGTAAGTGATTAAATAATTAATTTATAAAGAATAAATTTCATTGAACCAATGCAGTAAATAATAATGTTACCATGATTTCATAAGGAAATATGTAAATAGTTTAAGTTAACATAGTATTTGATAGATATTCTGCTGTATATGATTACAATTAAAATTACATGAGCTGATCATTTGAATAAAACCTATACAGAGTTAATCGATTTTTTTGTGTATTTGGCATCGAGTAAGAACTAGTGAAACTAACCGATTATTGTCCAAGTCAAGCAAGATGAAGCAAAGTTTAAACCTGAGAGTTATTGGCTAAAAGTCGAATGCTATCATTATTAAGTTATTGATCTATAAACAGAGAACAGCAGTATTCACAAAATGAAACGAAGTTCGTCTTGATTTTATGGTTGAAGTTAAATGTTAGTGCGATGAGTAACTTTCATCACACAAAAAAATGAATACAAAAAATATTAAAGTAGTCCAACTCGCAAAATAATTCAGACTTTACTAATAAGGTTAACACAATATTCAATGTTTCATTGAGTTAGTCTATAGATTAATTATTTATTTGAACACATAAATATTGGTACAAAGGGGCACCGAATACATATGTACTACACAAGTCACTTGATTTGTGTGTGGGCTGTGATACTGTTCGGGTGCCCAGAATGAAGTAGATGACTTTCTTAAGAAGCCACATCCGAAGCCTTCGACATGAAGGTCTGGCCCACAAGGCAGTGGAGCAACGTTAGGAGATGCAGTCTCATGGTAATCGGTGACCAACAACCGGTTCATACGCCATTTGTTCCTTCAGGATACTGGAGCCTATTGGTTTGGAATCAGGGTTTTCCAACTCTCCTAGGTGAACCCTCCATGTCCACCAACCTGGTTAAAGCGTCGGAAATTCGGTTTTCGTTCTCTCAATTTCGTAAACAACACCCTCGCTGCGAGAACGCAGTCAGTAGGACTTCCCTGGAAGTGGCTGTACATGCGTGACAATGTGAGAGTATTTCGAGAGAGAGATAACTGACTCTCCCCACCCTCGGCTGTACCAGGACATTTGGGGGCCATGATTAATTCAGTTATGCAAAAAGAGGGTGTAATCAATGTGATACTATTAGACTAAGTCAGTATTATATATTTGACTGATTAGGGTTATAAGTTACCGTTATATATGTGTCACAATCAATTTTAATTGACTTCATAATTCTAAAGATAACTGTATAACTGCTATAAATGTAAATTTTACAAGGTTACATTGTAAAAATCATTTAGTTAATTACTGATTCATAAATTAGTTCTATTCCTGTTATCGTGGATGATTTGCTGGTTATAGGATTAGGTGAAAAACAAAACAAAACAGAGATAGTCAAAATATGAGATGACATTATTGTTATAACTTGTGGCCCTGTTAATGTATGACGTGATGATACCACCAATTAGAGAGTAGTGAACTATCGATCGGACCAATGACGTATAAAACCCGTACGAGCAGTCTAGAGTCCTTATCAGTCCTGCTTCCGCCTAGCTCAGCCTGTTAAGTCAGGAACATCAATCTCAGCCTCTGCAATATGAATCATGTATTTCAAATATACTGGGTTTATATACCAACCAAACAGACTACATCATATTATAAAATAAGAAACAACATTTAGCCAAATGTGGCTGTGAATAAAGGAGATAGTAATTGATAGACAGGGCATAACTCAAGAATGGTAAAACGTATAATAACAGTTCATAGGTTAAAATAAACCCATAATAAGAGGAATATGAATGTGTATAGTTTAGTTATTTAACAATTATACAATAAAAATATACGCATAGTATTTGTCCAGAAATAGATTTTCACAGTTACCATTCATTATTCTCATCGGAAATATAACAATTGTAATATGAAAGATAATTGTATAAGACTAATATCTATCACGACTTTCCAGTTGAAGTCAAAGGAATTGACACAACTTGGCTGTTTTAGACATTATTAGATATGTTTTAGAATAAAAGCCAATAATGATACTGTAGTAACTCTCTATTACACTATTACATTATAATGAGCTAACCTTTCTTTTAAGAAAGTATCCTTTCCATGATATAATTTTAATTCAACTACATCTCTTATTAAATACAACTTCTTTTCAATTACTAATTGATTATACTAAGCTCTTATCTTATTGATTTGTTCAAAACATTATCGATTTATCATTATGAATACATACTACTTTTTAATGCCTTATTATGGATCAAAATTTCAATGCTTTATTAACTAAACAAAATAAACATGAGTTTTAATTTAATAATAAATAAATTTGCTTAGAGAATAATAAAAAATAAGTAAATAAATAAATAAACACAACTTTATTTGTCAACAGTTTTTAACTTCGTCAATGAAAGATATTGATTCAAATTATAAAAGGAACAGTTGATTCGATACTCTTAAAAAATTATTCTGATACTTGATAGTTTAACATAAGTAGAGTTTTAAAAGCATGAAATAGTTACATGTAATGAAGAAATCAACAGAAACGTCATAGATTAATTTTAATTGAGGATCTACTAAAAGACAGGGAACATTGAACAACTGTTCATTCTTAGTATAATCTCCTTAGTAGTGTGCACCTACAAATTCAGCATGGAATGAACCCAGGACATCCAGGTATTATAATCATAGTGAACGCTTAACCATTAGAATCACTAAACCAGAATTCTATAGTATACATTTCCAACTTTAATCATTTTTTTATGTGATGCGACAAATCATCCAATGCCACTAGTGACAACTGTTTAACTTCCGATATACTCTTTTTCTAAAGAAAAGTAATCAGAGAGTTAATACTTCTGACTAAAATTCGATCGGCCTTGGTTAGCAGACGTGGATCCAGTGCAGATTATCTTGATATAGCTATTGTAACACATGTTGACATATAAATGACGGAATTAAGCTAGAAATAGAATCCAGGACACGTATTCCGTCCTAATTCGGACTCGTCAACTGGATATACCTGAATTCCAGAGTTGATGTCCACTCTGCAACTCGGCAACGGTACAACTGTCTACAAAACAGTATACATAGGGGTTTCAATAAAAATTCAATTAAACTTTATATGAAAATATGGGAATTGCATGTAACTCGAAAAGAAGCATTCACACCATACACGATACTTTATTGAGATGCATACAACTTACATTTGTTGATGGTTGTTGATTAAAAGAATCTTGAAATGGCAAACTGACATTTTGATTTGACACAGTTACTATATTTGAATTGGAAAAGTCAGCAAAGTTTGTCGTAACTGGATTATTATTATTAGTCATTGATGGTGGTACAATCGGTGGTCTAATAATTGAATTTACAGTGTTACCCACAATTACACGATTACTAGCAGAGCAATTAGGTCGTGGTCTTTCTCTTGGTGCTACCGACGTATTCGTAATAAATTGATCTGTTGACTGATGAATAGATTGTTTCTGATCAGGTGAACAAGATTTATTTCGAATATTAAAGGAAGGAGAAATTGGCCTGACATAAATGAATGAATGGAAAGGTTAAGTAATTAAATGAAAAAAATATATATCATAGTACTATTTAATAAAATGATAGAATTTCAATTTGAAAACAATTTTACAGTGATAGTAAAAAAAATTTACGATGGAACTCTTCAGTTGCATAATGCTGAATCCCAGTGTTGATACTCAAACCAAAATTCCAGCCCAGTATCTTTCATCTTTGAACTTAGTAACTCAGCGGATAACGCGTTGAGTGTTAGAAGGGAAAGTTACTAGCTTCAATTCTTAATCTGACCATCAACATTGAGAAGCAAATAAGTCTAACTGACGAATTTTAAATAAAACGAAACATAAGCCCTGGATTTTTCTGTCAACTACTGTCCAACTATACTAAAAACTTGTAAATTAACGGGGATATTGACGCGATCCGCCCGCAATGCGGCAGATCAGTTGTAGTCATTGAAATCGACAACAGGAAAATAAAAACTCTTACAAATAATATGTACACACATTAATATAAATCTAGGACAAACGAAAATCAGGCCAAATAAATAAATTCTGCCTCCTATCATAGTGATTCTTAGTATATGCACTAGTAACCAACTTCGAACTTCTAAGAACGTGATATTTAAGCGATTAGCATTTAAGCTAGAGATATGTGTGTAGGCTGTCACATGTGATCAAGCGTACACGTTTATACAGACATGATAGTGATCATAATAATACAAAGAAATAGAAAAATTGTTACTGTTCGAATAACATGGTCTGTTGAATAAGTTAATTGAAGAGATTGACAAAAGTAACCGTAAATAAAATTAATTATGGGAGAGTTGCTATAGTCTGTTATTAGGCCTTACATACTATGATAGCGTCGATCAAAACCGATTGTATAAACCTGTACTTGGTATATAGGTTCTACTATAAACATCTTTATTCACATTCAAATCAAGCTGAATAAATTGTATTCGTTCAATAATATGAAACGGAGAACACAATACGTTATTGATTGATTGTTCGATAAGCAATAGTAGTAAGATGCATAACTGTGTGAAATAGAGAATATGAATGCTTCTTCATTACTAGATTCTGTTTTAATAAACTTTCAGTAAACAGCCATTTATTATTGATTAAAGAAATATAATTTTACAGTAAATGCTTCAACAATAAAATAATCATTAAAACACAGATATAATGAAACAAAGAATATTCTTTTCAAACAATTAACCATCAGGTTTCACAGTTGTATATCTCTATATTATTAATTTCAAAGAATTGTCAAGTTTACAATTATAGCATATGAATTGAATGTTCTTTGTAAAAATGTTTTCAATAGTGTTGTTGTTTAAAGTGATTAATATGCTTTTTTCATTTACAGGAATTTAAGTCTAACAGGTTTTAATTAACAAATTATTAACTTGATAAACAATCGGAAATGATTTGATTTATGCAAAGACTGTGACTAATTTGAATTATATGAATTAGTATTGAGCTGTTTATTGTTTTGACGGTGAGACTGTACTTTATGGACGACCTTTCAGTGACGCTCAAGAGACCTTGAAAATGTCCACTTACATACTACGGCTATATGAGGGTTACAAACCAGTGTGAGAAATTAGGATTAATATTTACAGTTGACAGTTAGGGTTAGGAATTAGATTTAGGGTTTTCATCACGAACTGGCATCACCTATAATGCCAAAATGCTATTTAGACAAATGAATAAATTAATTTCGCGCCAAAATTCAAGACCTGTTATCGTAAATCTGATTGGTTCGTCCATAAATTATAGTCTTGCGGTTTTGACTAGATCTTTCTTTGCTTAACTACACTAGACTAGGTCTACATATTTAAACGACATAAAAAAAGTATAGTATTTCATTAATTAAATTATCAAAACTTTAAAAAAGTTATTTATCTAAGAAAACAACCATTCATGTAGTACATACCTATTTTCTGATTTAAACTCAGATGTATGAGAATTGACAGGTAATTTGAGTTGAGATTCTCGTGGAGGTACAGTTAAATCTTTCCAAAGGGGAATTGGAAGATTCTGTTTGTTTGTGTATGTGTTTATTTTTCATTGAAAAGAAAGAAATGAGAGGAAAGTGATCATCACAACAACAAAAACAAAAGATAACTAGGAACAAGTCGATAATCATATTGAACATAAAAAATATGAGTTAATTAAGGTGAAACAAATTAAATAAACTCAATAGATTTGATTTTTTTTCCACTCTTCAATGTTTATCATGTCGTAACACCTTTTTACACTTGACTGATTAAAATAATTAGAAAGATGATGTGGATGACCTTGAGATCACAGATCGGTACAATTAAGAAAGTTCACATGGATTAGACAGAGCCGATAATCGATACAACTGTACAATACGCGACATCGTAAACAAACAATAATTGACGGACTATAGAATCAGAATATACTTTTGAGGATATCATTTTTTAATTGGGTGGCTTGATTAAGTACAGTAAAAGGAGGAGTGCGCAAGAAGACACTGATTAAAAAGTGAATCTAAATTATATAGAATGTCAGTGTTTTTTGTTGGATTGATCAAGTATTGATGAACAGTTATAATGATAGAATAATTGATTATATTGATTTCAGTAGGTACATAAAAAACATCTGTATAAACCTGAGATACATGATTTGGGGGATTGGTAAAACAATAAGATTGGAGATAGGTGAAATACCTACGAAGTGACTCATATACAATTCAACTGTTAATTTTAAGAATAAAGTGTCTAAATTACTTAAGTGAGAAAATGTGATATCGCATCTTCCTGTGAATAGAGAATGGAGGATATGTACGGAAAAGCTTAAAATCTATGGATGGTTAGTAGCTCACTGGTGTAAGCACTCAAACTATGGATTATTGAAAGATGGGTTTGGATCTCATTCCACCAACTTTGATAAAAGCAACACACAAATATATATTTCAACGGTGAGTACAAGAGTTTTCTAGGTCGACTACAGAGTTGCATATCTATTTGTTGATCAAAATACCCCAATCGAAATTGAAGACGAGTAGAAAACTGGTCACTTTTAAGACTAGACTTACGAAGATGATGCTTAAATGAATAGAGGACGGTATACATATATAACTTATCACTTAAAATGTGATTAGGTTAGTTGATGAAGAAACAACTTTACAAAAAAGTTACAAATACAGTTAATAACAAAACAAATACATACAAGAGAATAAAAGATTATCACAGATTAAATCAAACAACATACACCTAAATTCTGAGCAGGATTATTTCGACCAGCAAGCGTGAAAACTAATGCACAAACTTGATAAATATCTGGACGTTTGAATGCATCCACACAAAGAATATAACCTGTGAGAATAAGATGTTTACAAAAAAAAATAAATCCTATCGGTGATGCAGTTGAAAATAATGATAAACGTTTTAAATTCAGTAATCAGCCTGACACACGCACAATGATCCAACTTACCACACCATATCATGACGAGATGATGAAATTTCCAAAACAAATACCAGTGTAGTAGAAGTATTAAGAGTATCAGTAGGAGTGAAAAACATTAGGCACAAATAATATCGTTCAGGAAGAAAGAATGAACTCACGGAACGCAAAAATGAGATACGAATGGATCTGAGACACTGAGACAGATTCTGGTTCACATCACCCAATATCTCCAACAATTGACTACGAAGGCACAAGAACTCTAACCAGAGAGTTTGTACAAGCCAACACTGATTAATTCGACAATTAATAACCTCACGAACTAGTACAACATCTTTGATTGGTCACCCCTTTTTATCTAACCTACTCCTACACACTTTTTGTAAACGAATGTTTTAATGCAGGAGAAAGATAAATGAATGTATAGATAGGTGGTCTGTAGAGACTTATGTTCTATTTAAGCTACCCAGTGTTTTATGGCCTTCAGTTAATATCAATCAGTGGTAGTAGCAGTAGAGTAGTTAAAACTAAATCTTTTAATATTAGTCTTTCTGGATATACTTTTCTGTGATAGAATAACCAATCACTTTAACGAATACATTAATGAGATAGGTTATAATCTGATTGATTTCAGATAGATATCTACATAGATATTAGATCAAGTTGACAAACAAACCTACCCACATATAGGCACATTAAAAAGAAGCTCAAAACGATTTAGTTTATATTCAAAAATTAGTAAATAATTCTTTATGACTTTAGTTTGTATGCAAACTAATGAAGAGTTGTTAATTCGACCTTGTTTTAAAAAATATACTCAGACAACTACCTTGAATTGATTTCTTGACTATTTTACAAGTATATGTAATTTATATTCATACGGATACAAGACTGAATAACAGTTCTCCAAAGTAATTATATGTTATTGTGATATAGTGTGGTGTAATATGTTACGAAGCTACGGAATCAAATAATCAACTACAAATAAATGCACTGACCCAATTTCTCATACTACATAAGCAAAGCCAAATGCAACTAACAAGACGGATTACAAAGGGATTGAAATTAAAGTGGTAGTATTGTTTATGAAAAAGACTGAACATTGAGAATGTTGATCGAAAAGATAAAATGAAGACGTATGTATCAAGAAATAGAAGAAATAAAGTTCTAGACAAAAGCAAAGGATGAATGCGTCTGCACTATTGCGATTGTTTCTAAGCTAATGTCAACTATTATTGTGCGGATCCCAGCCGTGTAATCTGAATATGTCAACATTGTTTATTTATTTAAACGCATAAACATTGGTACAAGAGGATGCCAAATACATATGCGCCACAGAATAACAATGAGGCCAGTAGTAATTATCATTTATTTGTGTGAGCGCTGTGATACTGCTCGAGTACCCAAACAGAAGCAGATGGCTTTCTTGGAAGGTCACACCTGGAACCTTTGATCTAAGTCTAATCCACAAGGCAGTGGAGCAACGTTAGCAGATGCAGTCCCATTGTAGTCGGTGACCAACAATAGGTTCATACGCCTCTTGTTCCCTCAGGATCCTGGAACCCATATGCATCATTGGTTTGGAATCAGGGATTTTCAGCTCTCCTAGGTGAATGCTCTATATCCATGCACCCGATTGAAGTGTCGAACATTCGGTTTTCGTCCTCTCAATTTCGTAAACAACACCCTCGCTGAAAGAAAACGGTGAGTTCAGACCAACAGGTAATAATTCCAAGGACTGATGCTACTTTTTTGCCTGGCTTTTATCTAACATATTTCTACACCAACTAACATTATCCATCGAGGTAGACGCCTGTTGAGCATACATATGTCCCGACAACCTTAGTAGATGAAGATCCACAACCTCGTTAGTAAGCGAGTTAAATACACTAGACTTTCAGTCATTCATTCTCACTTTTTTTTAGACTAAGCTCCACCTGCGTACATTTAGATTGCTAGGTAACCTTTTCTCCCATAAATGTATCGCGAATCCGGAGGATGCATAGATATGCAAAGTATTAATTAAACTGAGATGACTAGTGTTTAACAATGTACACATCACTATCCAGTAAATAAGGATTCATACAATTAATGTAAGTTGATTAAACTCAACACCATTACACAAGCCAGTGGGTAGCTCTAAGTGTAGAACGAGATGGCCTTTGGAACGGACGGTACTGGATTCGGGTTTCGGAGTGAACACCAACTCTGTGATGCAGGTACATCCAGCCGACGAGTCCCAAATAGGACGACGCATGAGTTATGGATTCTAATGCTAACCACATTTCATCTTACTTACTTACGCCTGTTACTCCTAACGGAGCATAGGCCGCCGACCAGCTTTCTCCAACCCATTCTGTCCTGGGCCTTCCTTTCTAGTTCCATTCAATTCTTGTTCGTTTTTCTCATATCTATCTCCATTTCCCGGCGTAATGTGTTCTTTGGTCTTCCTCTTTTCCTTTGGCCTTGAGGATTCTATGTGAGGGCTTGTCTTATGACGCAGTTGGGTGCTTTCCTCAATGTGTGTCCTATCCATTTCCAGCGCTTCTTCCTCATTTCTTCTCCCACTGGGATCTGGTTTGTTCTATCCCACAGTATCATATTGTTTTTATGAAGGCGATTAGCACAAGATGCACGCATATACGTCAAAACTGGTCAATTGCGGTTCTGAACACCGATGGAACGATTCAAACAGCATATACAACATGAGTATAGCTGGACAATAGGTTAATAATTAATAACTTAGAGAAGGTAAAACACATAACTATAGTTTATGCGTAAATCGGAACGATACAATACGAGAAATATAGAAATACAATATTAAAAGTACATAGTGCTTAGGCACTAGAAAGTTGAATAATAAATTCTTATAATATAATTCTGAAAGTTTGAACGTTTCCCAAACCCAAATATGATACATAATAAAACGAGGTTAATTTTAAAATACGTAAAAACTGAAAGGTGAAAGTTTGCGAAGAAAAATAATTGTTTAAACGAAAACGCTTAAAATGATACATTAAAAACTAAAAAGAACTTACCAATTAATTTATGTAACCTTTCAGAATATGGTGAATTGTCTGGTAGACTAAAATTACCTGATTGTATAGCTAGAATACTATCACCAAATGGTAAATTGAAATAGCATATGCAATACAGCATACAACCCAAAGCCCAAATATCGATTTGTGGACCTAATGGAATTGATGCGGATAAATTGACCATTTCAGGGGCACGATAAGCTAAAGTAGTATATCTAGACCATAATAATTCGAAACAAAAATTGCATGGAAATTCATAATGATGATGTACAACAAATTGTAAACATGAATTGACAGTTTAAATATATAAATCTATTAGTGAAAATGGTTTAAATTGTTCATTCTGGTCAGCGTCGTTTGAGCAAGGTTGCTGACTCTATGCCCAACCATCCTCCTTTACCCAGGCATCGGACCGGCAGTAAACCTAGAAGAGTCACCGTTAGAAATCACTACCTGGTGGTTGCCAAAATGACACTAAATCTAAAGAAGCACTGGACAACTATACAAACAGCATCGCAAAGACTTAATACAGCTTTTCTTCGAGATACTGCCAAAAACAGACAACTTTAAGATAACTCTCAATAGCAAGTTCCAATCCTTACAACAACCACTCACAGAAGAAGAAACTATTGTGGAGGACAAATGAAAAAGAATCAAAGGAGCACTAACTTCAATACGTCAGGAGGTGTTGCGCCGCACCAAGCATCATCACAAGTAATGGACTTTATTGAAACCCTTGACAAAATTCAAGGAGACAGTGATTAACAACAGCCGAACAAGAACGGAGGAAGTTAAGGCACAAGATGAATACATAGAAACAAATAAGCTAGTGAAGAGGACCATTAGAGCCGACAAGCAAAAGTATGTAGAAGAGCTAGAAATGACAGTGGAAAAAGCTTCAAGAGAAGGAGATATGAGACAGCTATATGACACAACGAAGAAGCTGACAGAAAATATAGTAAACCAGAGAGACCGGTCAAGAACAAAAACGGCAAGACAATCACCGAGATTCAAGAACAGAGGAACAGTTGGGTAGAACACTTTGAAAATCTCCTCAATAGATCAGATTCATTAAATCCACCTGACATCGAGGTAGCACACACATACCTTTCTATAAATATCACACCACCAACGATCAAATAAATCAAGAAACAGACATGAAAAGGATGAATAATAGCTGGGGAGAAATGGAAAGGATCGCCCAGGACAGGGTTGGATAGAGAGTGCTGGTGGGCGGCCTACGTTACAATACGACGGGTAACAGGCGTAAGTAAGTAATTAATGAAAAACGTTACAGTTAGAGGTGGAACACAGAATTCGTGTTTCGTCATATTCGGGACTCGTAAATCGAATGTACCTGTGTTCTAATATGTTGATACTCATATTAGAACTCAAACCCAGTATTGTTCGCTTCAAACACTAACGTGTTATCCCCTCCTCATCACAATCCATCTATTCCGATACAAAAAAGTTTGCAATAAAATGGCTATGTCGAGGCGATTTGCACAGAATGCACATATACCAACAAAGATTGGTCAAATTTCAATCCTGAATATCAACAATGGGATTAATTTAAACCCTAACTAATATTGATAAGAATATATTTTCATAGCTTATTTACCTAGTATACATTTTTGTATTGTAAACTAGAAGAAAAAATATCTACCTAGAAATTTCTTCTTCACATCTTCCAAGACCATGAACACCAGGATGGAGAACACGTGAAGTTGCACTGCCAAAATCACATAAAATAAAATTATTTCGGTCGTCAATAAGAATATTGTCGATCTTTCGTTTATGATGTTTTGTTGTCATTTTTCATTGGGGGCAGAAAAGAGAAAGAATAAAACATAAAATACTTTCATTATAACCTTTTTGTTGTTTGGAAAAAGGAAACTTTTATTTACCGGAAGATTTACGAAAACAACTTAAAGAAAACTGGTTACAATTCAGTCAGTTTAGTTATATTCAATGTATAGGCTAGCACTAATGTGTTTTCGCCCAAGTCCTCGTACCAAACTAGTGCAAACAGGTGAATAGTAAACAAGTCGAAATAATAATCATAAAAATGATCGTAAGAAAAGGTATGTATGAAAAAATCCTGAAACTTGAGATCTAGAGTAAGTCAAAGAGTTAATGCACTTACATAGTTGTGAACGATCCCGAGCCATATCACTTAAAGTCACTAATTGAGGTTGTCATGCAGACCCTAACTAGCTATTTTGTATTTACCAATATGGATCATTCCAACAGTCAATGATTTCATAGGCTGACAATACATATTGGTTTCCCTGACCTTAGCTTTCTTCCAACAGACTATTACACCATCAAACACCGAGCATAGGGGTTTGGAGATGATAGGGAATACATAATATGTCTCATCCGCCTGAGTTGATGAAGATTTACAACTTCACCAACCGACTACTAGCCAATTTTGACTGGTACCTTGTGCTTAACATGAACATTGAGATGGTGTAAAAAATTAATAGTTCAAGTGGATGATTTGGGTGGAGTTTCGTTTTCTGAGCTGGATGGTTTGGTCCTGTGGCTTTCTTTGTTATTCTGAACAGCAACATCAGAACAAACTTTGAGTAGGCGTGAAGTGTCAAGCTTGGCACTGAGGTCAATCCGCAATCAACAAACACGTCGAAATTAATCTAATTTAACAACCAATCAGAAGAATCACGGACATATGAGACCAAGAATCAAATCAAAGAGATGAAATCAAAATAAAGCGGTAGATAATGATAGGTTAAAAATTAACAATAACAAATGAAGATCGAGGTCAACAGGACAGAATGTTTGTTATATGTGGAGATTTTCGAATACCATACTTCTAACTCAAGTTTGTGCTGATGATATTGTTCAGAGGAACAATGAATGCTTCACGATTTTTCCATCCAGCTCAGAGAAAGAAGCTCTACCATAACCTAAACATTTTCATCCACTTGTTTCACGAAATGCGAGACATTTACGACCAAAAACTTTCGGCTTATGCATAACTTCTACTTTAAAAGACCATGTTTTATCTTATACATCACTGAAAATCATACCAAAAATAAAAAAATAAAGCAGATAAGATTAATTCGGGTGTATGTATTAAACTACTAAAACTTATCTTAAAAAGTTTCAATAACGTTATTCAATTGTTTAAACTGTAGAATATAAATCTTGCATATCATGGAAAAATAAAATGAGTAAAGGTATTATGCCAAGGTGTGGAGTAATGGATAAGTTTGGAGATTAAAATGGTTAATCAGGATGTAAACCTTTTTCAGACACCTAACGAGTTGTATTGGTTTGTAAATATATAGATTGGAAAACATAAAGGAGATCAGACAAAAGAATGAAATTACATTTAAGAAAACTTTGTCTTCTTGACAATGTTAATTACACTAAAACTTTACAGTTATATTCAGTTATTTTTAAATACATAGTATTAGTACACAGCAGAATCGAGAAGTATCGTATTGTTAACACAGTTATCAAGCATCGAATATAAATTGTTTATTAGTTTTAAAGGTACTGAATATATAGTAAAATGAAAGTGATGTATGTAAGAAGTGTAAAATAGAACTTTATTTGTTGAATATAAAGGAGATATAGAATACGTGAGTAAATAGAAGTAACAACTGATAAGCTCATTTTAAAATAAGAGATTGAAAATGTCTTTTTTGAACACAGAGATCAAGCTTCAATTGATGAATTGTTAAAGCCCTTCACCCCTACACAAATTTCTGATTCAAAACAACATCTAGCAAGTTCCTTTGACTATCTCAATCCGGGTGGCAGTACGTGGTCAGAGTTGACTAGGTGTTCGAGGGCAGAGAGCTGTTGACTGATTTGCATTCCCCTTTAGACAACTAGAAATGGTAGTTTTCGGATATGTTTGGAAGGTGCACCTTTTGTGCGACAACGTAACCTACTCCACAAGATTATGTATACAACATATTAACAATCAAATGCCCCCAAATGCCCTGGTACGGCCGAGAGTGGGTAGAGTCCGCTCTCCCTCTCGAAATGCTCTCACATGGTCACGCGTATATAGCCTCTGCCAGGGAAGTCCTACTCATTGCCTTCTCGTGACGGGGGTGTTGTTTACAAAAATGAGAGGACGAAAAGCGAATGTCCGGCGCTTTAACCGGACCCCAAACCAATGGTGCACATAGGCTGGCTCCAGTATCCTGAAGGAACAAATGGCGTATGAACCAATCGTTGGTCATCGGCTTCCATGGGACTACATCTCTTTACGATGCTCCACTGCCTTGTGGGTTAGACGTTCAGGTCGGAGGCTCGAGGTGTGGCCCCCTAAGAAAACCACCTGCTTCGGTTTGGGCACCCGAGCAGTATCACAGCCCTCACACAAATCAATTGAGATTCGTGTGGCGCATATGTACTTGGTGCCTCTCTGTACCTATACTTATGTGTTAAAATAAAATAAAATAAAAAACAATGAAATAGTCCAATGTGAAAGTTAATCTTGACACATAAATAAATAAATATATAGAAATCGAAGTTTAACAAGCAACAACCACACATAAATTTGTGCATTAGGTTGTAATATGATAATATATTTTGATAATTACCAGTTACTACTCTCAATCTCACATACACTGAATACAGAACAATTTTAAAATAAAATGGAGTTGTAAATTATGATTGATTTAGAAAACGACAACAATATTTATTTACACAAACAAACGTGGTCATATTACGTAGTAGTTTTTATATATGCTAACAGAAAGCGGAAAAAAATTTAGAATATAACGCTGTTATTATGTTGAATCGATGTAAATTTATGCATTCATTTCATTAGTTGATGGGGATTTGTGAAAGTTGATTTTGAATTGTAAATTGTGTACGTTACAGATTGGCCCCAAATGCCCTGGTACGGCTGAGAGTGGGGAGAGTCCGCTTTCCCTCTCAAAATGCTCTCACATGGCCGCGCGTATATAGCCTCTGCCAGGTAAGTCCTACTCATTGCCTTCTCGTGACGGGGGTGTTGTTTACGAAATTGAGAGAATGAAAAGCGAATGTCCGATGCTTTAACCGGGTTGGTGGACATGGAGAGTCCACCTAAGGGAGTTGAAAAACCCTGATTCCAAACCAATGGTGCACATGGGCTGGCTCCAGTATCCTGAGGGAACAAATGGCGTATGAACCAATCGTTGGTCACCGGCTTCCATGGGACTGCATCTCTTTACGATGCTCAACTGACTTGTGGATCAGACCTTCAGGTTGAAGGCTCGGGGTGTGGCCCCCTAAGAAAACCACCTGCTTCGGTTTGGGCACCCAGGCAGTGTCACAGCCCTCACACATATCAGATGAGATTTGTGTGGTGCATATGTATTTGGTGCCTCCTTGTACCAACATCTATGTGCTTAAATAAATAAATAAACGTTACAGATTGATACCAGTTGGGGAAATATGTATCAGAGAATAATAAACAGTTGTTTCGTTCTATGAAGAGACACCAAAGCAGTATACACCAACAATCATCACGCGAGGTCGAACTCAGAACAATCAGGTTTCAGGGTAAATTTTCAATTATAAGAACGACTGAGTCGGTCGTTTTGCGATATAGTAAAATGACCATTCATTATCATTTATGACAACTATTCTAACATAGCTGAATTCTAGCATCAGCCACGTCTTCTCACAAAAATTTTAGGGGGATTCTTCGGTTATTTTCACTCATGGTCTTCAACAGTACCGTGATTGAGATCAATCTGTGATGAATATAGTCTATGTCTTTATTGATTCAGTAGGGAATATAAGTTAGAGAATGATGTATAGTTAAGTATAATTGCGTAAACTCATATTATTACAACTATTTCAACCACTGAAACATGAACAATTCTTGTTGATAACTGTATCAAGATGTGAATAAATTTTTTCGCTAAGAATAATTATAAATTCAATCGTTGTTTAGATTTGTATTGGATAACTTCTTACTTTAGAAAAAAAAGTAACTAATCGGAAATATGTAAATTTTGATGTTATTTAACATTATAATTATGAGAATGAAATGTGAAGGCATTACTTATGGTGATAAATTTTCTAAAAAGAAAACGAAATCTTTACATATTCGAGGAACGCGTTTTCGACACTTTTGTGATTAATATTAAAGAAGTAACTAAAAGGAGGATTTTAAAGATGAATTTCAAAAACAATCAACAGTTATCGATAGATACGTGACAATGGGACTTCCTTCTAAACCAAAGTAATTTAATAATTTCATTTATTATACAGAGTGATATTAAAATCTTGTACAAGCAAGTAAAATGTTAATCAGATTAGAGTCCTGACACAATTTATCGTTAGGTATGTAAAAATGTATTATACACAAGAACTTAATTTACTTAAGCGGTATTTACTGATAAAACTTGCTCTACTACTATTACTACTATGCATCTGATTTAAGAAGTTTCTCATGAAATATGGAATTCGCTATTACTTTATTTATCCGCTTTAACACGAGTAGTGGCTCAGTAGTTAGGACGTTCGACTTTTAGCTACTAAGTCACAGGTTCGAATTCCGTCCCATCTACTGTGGTTTGTAAACAAACATCACCTAATCTTTCTGAACTCAATTGAACAGTAAACAATTATGAAAGATAACATACTTTTAAATCTCGATGAATAATTGGTGTTTTACAATGGTGTAATCGACAAACTGCTTCACAAATATCACTAAATATACGTATAACTTCAGCTTCCGTAAATCTGTGGTGTTGTTTCCGTTCATTTATGAGTTGACTTAAACTACCTTTGGATATATAAAAAAGATGAAATACAAAACGAAGAGCTTGTAAATAATAGTTATGATTATTCGTTGAGTCGAAATGTTAACAGATGTAAAAGTAAGCAATCCAAAACTACACAGAGTAAATTGTTTTGATTTCCTGGTAAATTGACATGATCTAACTGTAAACTACAGAGATGGATTAGTGGTTAAGCTGTTTGACTTCTAACCACCAAATCTCAGGTTCGAAACCTGCTCTACTTACTTCGGTCTGAGTAACCAGGTAGTGTTGTTTGTAAAGAAACATCACCTAATCCTTCTGAACTCAATTCAATAGTAAACAATTATGAAAGACAACATACTTTTAAATCTCGATGAATAATTAGTGTTTTACCTACTTCGGTCTGAGTAACCAGGTAGTGTTGTTTGCCCTCACACCCTCGCACCTCAACCACGGAAAAATACAAAGTACTGAGAGAATTGATATAATGGGCAAGATCTTTATCGATCGGAGTATGAGTAATTTATAGTATCGATCTGCATCAATTATCTACAACTAATCATGTTTATTTTTGGGCATACATTTTGTGTATAAGCACGTAATCTTGTTAGAAGAGTTTATTCTACTGGGAGGGTGTCTTGCTTTCTGACATTACTCCAATTAGGGGCTTGCACCAGTAATGCGGTCTCGTAAACAGCCATCATTTAGTTACATGGTATTATTAGTTGAGTAAAGAACAGGTAAAAGTGATTAAGAAATCTATTCTTGCTCACTCGGTACACACAGGTTATCAGGTTGACTTTGATAAAGCTTTTAAGGTTAACCACCATATTCCATTAAATTTACCATATAGTTTGTGTATTCGTCTGTTGCATATTACTAAATCCATAAGAATCCATGTTCACAAACCTCACACTTTCATCCAAAAGAAGTTTGTACACACACTCTCGCTACTTTGGCCAACGGTAGGGTGTTTCTAGCTGAACTTTGACTAAACCTTTTCCTCCAAAAATATTTGAACACTTTTATTTCTCCCGCCTTTTATTTTTACATATTCTCAACATTCATCTCTTGATTTTTACATAACTACTACGATTCTGACGTTTCTTCAAGATATTCTGTCAGTTCCTAGTATATATTTTGCAATGTAGTAAGCGATTGGATTTCCGAATAACTACTTTATTAAAATTTCATTTCTCTCAATTACTCAATATTATTTGGCGATCAATTTATCACTACACAATTATTACGTAACGCAACTACTTCATGAGTATTATTACGTTGTTGTAAACCATACATATACATACATTAATGTAAAGGTATGATGTATACTTCGACTTACCTGGATAATAAGTCGTTAATAACAAAACTTCATAGATTCCTTGTTGAATATCTATTATTTTCGAGTCCACATAGCGAATAATATTTTTATGTGATAAAGAACTCTACAGATAAGAAATGATGTAAAATGGTAAATTGTAAAAATAAATACCATTAAAATAATTTCGAAATTAAACTTCATTAAATTTTCTGGAAAAATATAGCAGTAATCTGATACATTTTATACGCTTTGCTTTCTAATCATTAAGTCATTTCATTAAGTTTAAAATTCATTGTAACTACTACATCAGTTTTACAAGCCAACTTAGCAACATTGTTAAAAAGAAAGCAGGAATATACAAATGAAATCATCGAACAAAAAATAGTATGGAATAATGATGATACTGTTAAAACTGAAAAACCGGCTCCGCCAGTACTGTTGTGACTAGATAACCAACTGTTATAATATCTGGAGAGTCGTCGCTGGTATGTACGTATAAACTCTGTTGAGTCCCCAGTTCTACTCCTTTGAATTGACAATCGGGAACCACTACAATTCCCACTATTCAAAGCGATAACACGAAAGACTGATGAAATGAAGATTTATTAGCTCCTTAAAAACACAACCCTAAACAAGTCCCAAATTCACATATCGCCCAAAGACTAAAATGCAATCATTTACATACCAATTTTTACACACATTTTATAAGACACACAGGGGGAAATACGTACAGTTACTGTAAAAGCATACATACAATAAGCATAGTTCATCTGAATTAATATAGAGATTGTAACTGTCACACTGAACGAGAGTTCACACTCGTCATCTAGAACAAAGTTCATACTAAATTGCTACAAGAAAATATTGGCCACAAAATGTTACACTGAACAAAAGTTCAGATTTGTTACCGACCGAAATACGTAATGAATCGGTACAAAATAATATTGACGTATATAATGTCATACCAAATGAAGAACTTGTCAATTCCGTTTCAATCAGTGAAGTGTTTTAACAAATCTCCAATGCAATAATTGAATACTGAATATTTAAACACGATTGTCTCATGGCAATGAGTATATAATAAGTATGATTACTTGAGGTATTTGACTCAATAAGTCCTATAGTTTATGGAAGAGCTACTTGCACTTACTAATTAACCCATGAATGTAGTAAGAATAACATCACTAGAATGGGACGTTTAATGAATTAAAACACTGTAAGTGCACATTTGTCTCGCACATAAACAATTTAAAAAGATGCTTTTTTCAAAAAAGAGGGGTGGCTGATACATGGATTACTTTTGCCTAACCACCACCAAACTTGATACACAATACATACTGGTTTAGAAGTAAGTCAAAAGAAAGCAAAGGGGAACTCAACTGAAATATAGCATCAATCTATCAAGGCATTAACTGTTGAATTGAGTCGTGTTGGTAAGTGGATATTACCTGGTTAAGATAAATTCACTTTTTATCTTCCCTTAGACATTGTGTTTTGGAATTATTTCATAGTCGTTTTACTCCGTGACTTTATTTCTTCATTTCGAGTCACACTCTCTATATTTGGTCTTTTTTGCCGTCATTGAAACTGTTATTATTTCTACCATCCTGCCATTTGTCTTGGTAACTTTATTTTGTCGTACTGATATAGTACAGATACTTGAACCGTTGGACAAATACACCAGGTTCTACCTTGTTTATGACTGAATGCTTTTTTAAAGAAAAATTTTGAAAAATCATCAGATGTATTGCTGTATCAGTACATTCTCTTTTCACAAAGTAAGAAGTCGATTTAGGCAACTGATAATCAACCACAGAGACTGTTTTACTTTACGATTAGGATACCAAGCACATTAATACATGCAATATATATATATATATATATATATATATATATATATATATCCTTCTGTTCACAAGATTTTCTTAGATCACATAGTTTTGATAAAACATTGATGAACATACACAAGTGGACGAAGAAAGAAACAAATTATTTCATGGTTTACATACCGAAAAATAATGATAATAATCTTACAATGGAATACTTACTACAATATTTATCTCTCTTTTACAAACAGAAAGATCATGACTATTGTTAACACATGTTCTTTTCAAAGCGTAAGTATGTCCATGTTGAGAGACTACACGAAATACAACACCGAATCCTCCTAAAATAGTTAAAAGGAGATTAAAAAACTAAAAATTATTTAAAGGCAAGTGAACATTGTTTAATGTGAATTTATGACATAATTCAATGTGAATAACTATATTAAATAGTGGATAAATTTCGATCAGTTTGTTTTGTATTGAAGTAATAGATGATGATGGGGAATATTTGTAACTCAGGATACGGATTTCGAAGATGTCATACTCTCTTAACTCGATGATTCAGTCATAAAGCTCCCGTTATTCTTTTTGGACATTCCCAAGAGAAGTAATCTACATAGAATTTCTTCATAATTGACTAACAGCATATGTTGACCTAAAATTTGGTTGATCGTTATCCATAATTGTCTGGATGTTGTTTGTATATATTTACTTTGATTACTTTCTTCCTTGACCTAATCTCTAACCTTACGAAGTGGAGGTAATATTTAAGAGAAGTCTCAAATCAAAATAGAATAATTTATTAGTAGCTGTCTATTTAGAAAGTATATGAGAAACCTATGTCTTGCTTCTACCCAGTTGCAAAACTTAGTACCATTTACAAGTTATTTTAAGGACAGATTAATGAATATTACGGACCACATAGTTTACTAAGTCTCAGTGAGTTATTTTGGCACTCCATTACAAGATTTATTGAATTAAGAACCAAAAACATTACTAACCGTTTATATACCTTGATACACATTTCAACATGCTATAGGTTAGAAACAACTTATATTGAATAAGTAACAATATTCTTCAATTAGTTCACATGAAATTACGCAAAAGAGGTTTATATTAAACCTAAATCACGAGTGTATCTTCTTGAATGCTTATTCGAGCTTGTGAAATTGAAATCTTGCGTTATGAGATTTAGTGAACAAGTATATATATACGTCTATTAAACTTTCATTCATATTTGTTATGTATATTATTTTTACTGTTATCAACTTGTTTATTGAGTACGTGTTTATGTACTCGCCTTTAGGTTACACTTAATTATTATGAAGGGTAGTCATACTTCCAGGTTGCTAAAATGAAAGCAGGTGAAATAGATTTCTGACCTATAGACTATAGGTTAGAAAACCAGTGCTTTAGCCAAAACGCAACTTCACCATCGACCACATGAAACCTACATATACTAACTATAATTTCCCGAATTAAATTAGATAACGTGAGTTTTTAAGGTAGAATATTTAAATTATGCAGGTCCATAGATCTATTACACTGCAGATTGATGGACATTGAATAATAATAATAATAATAATAATAATAATAATAATAATAATAATAATAATAATAATAATAATAATAATAATGCCATTAGTATTATAAAACTAAGCCTATGATTTATATCGCTTCGACCCATTTAATAAACATCTCATTTATGACTTAGACTGGCTTAGGGTCAGAATATCTACGATTTACAAATTATACTTAGGATTATAATTACTATCAGAATGATTAAATTGAATGAACTGTAATTTTGTTAGCATTTGCATAGATATAAATTATACTCGTTAGAACTTGGTAAAAAACTTGAGCATTGTTATCAAACATAATAGGTCAATCTCTATCTCATTCTATATAGGAATGAACATATGATTATTGACTGGCTTTTATTTGCAAAATAAAAATTTATTTATTATCTAATTGTCACAGTCTGAAAAATATTTTTTTGATTAGTTACATCAGGAAATAGGTCATGCAAGTCTTTATATAACTGAAATAATTATATTTTTAAAAAGATTGCTTCCTACTAAATAATTCGAAAACATTTTTGCAGAATAATTATATTTTTCAACAGTCAATGGAATACTTAAGGTTAGCTAAGGTAAACCATCGTTTTATGTATTGAGATTTTGTGGTATGATGGATGACGAGCACGCTTTTGGGAGTATTAAAGTGAATGAATAGAATTTCGATCAGTAGATGATGAAAAATGATATGATACGGCTAAGTTGATATTCTAGTAACTTTCACAAGAGATTAGAAAGGAATTTTGATAAAGTAATTCTGGAGGATTAATCATATTTTGTTGTAAAAGTTAAACTAGAATTTTCCGTTTGTGTGCATCTTTTAAATACCTAACTCAAGATGAAACGTTGCAGATCAAGAAATACAGTCACCAGGATTGTAGGACTAAAAAATATCACCAAAAAATAACATAATTTGTCAAGCAATTGACTACATTAAGATAAAAAAATAATGAGACAGAAAAAATAGATTATTTGATTAGTTCAGCATATCCCACTTAATCCAGAGAGAGGTTCTGTGGCAGTGTATGTCACTGAAAGGTGTACCTCAGAAGTACATTAACCTCGTGAGGGCTCTATACTTGGACACTACCAATCGAATCAGAGCTTATGATGAACTGTCATCTGATTTCGCAGCCTCAAGTGGTGTCCAAAAAGGCTGTCTACTATCTCCATTTTCGATCAATTTTGAAATACACACACTGTTAGAAATAACATTCTCGTCGACTGAATTTTCGGGAGTTGGTCTTCCACCAGTAGGTCCACTTATTGACTCAAAATATGCAAATGACAGTTCTGTTTAGTGAAGAGGCTGATATAATGAAGTTTTTTGGTAGCATTGAGCAACAATGCTGTGAGTTTTGGAGTGCGTTCCTACTCCTCTAAATGGAAATTGTTGCTTCAGGACTGGTCTGCGTCAGCACTTGAACTAAGGACAGAGAGTGAAGTAGTCGAATGCGTTGACAACTTCACTTGTCTTGAAAGTCTGATCAGCTCTAATGGGTTGGTGTTTGACGAAATCTCAGCACGGATTCAAAAAGCTCGTATGGCTTTCGCCAACTTACGTCACCTATGGCGAAGGCGTGACATCCGTCTATCAATAAAGGGATGAGTATACTGCGCCGCAGTTCGTTCTGTTCTACTTTACGGTTACAAAACGTGGCCATTAAGAGTCGAAGATACTCGTAAGTTACTAGTATTTGACGACAGATGTCGTAGAAATATTGTTCGCATCTGCTGGGATCACTGGGTAAGTAATAGTGAGGTTAGGCACAGGGTATTAGGTAATGATGGTAAATCAGTTGATGAGGTTGTGAAACTTCATCGACTGAGATGGTTGGGCCACGTGTTATGTATGCCTGAACACCGATTACCACGATGCGCAATGCTCACTAGTGTTGGAGACGGTTGGAAGAAAGTTAAGGGCGGCCAAATCAAAGTGTGGAATCAGTCCATAAGGTTACTAACTTTTAGTCAGAGCCATGTTGGTAGATGCAGACTACTTGGTTGGGGTCCGCGTGACTCGTAACCAATGGTTGGAGACTGGTTGACATGGTTGAGAATCGATCACAATGGTGTCGGTGTATACACTCTTTGTCTTACCTTAAACCATGAGATTAAAATCGCTTCATATCTTTCTTTCTACCAACTAATTCTTTCTTCCTGTACTGTATCCTTATACACAATCTTTCATACATTACTACCATTGAAGTAACTACACGTTGACATGTTTTAATTCAATACTATTTGAACTTAAGTCAACGTGAAAATTATGCGTTGTAGATGACTGACTTGGTCTAGAAAGCTTTTAGATGTTTAAGTGAAAGCCACATCTAATGCTCTGAAACATAGGTAAACACAAGGAAAAGATGGAATATCCTACAATTTCGAGGATAAAATGGATAAATCAATGATGCGTTTGACTGCTGAATAGTGGAGCATACTATGCTGCTAATCCAACGAGATATTATGTAACTAGACACCATGAAGATACTACACAATTTTTCGGTTTCAGCGCTTACAGCCGACATAGTGATTTAAAAAATATGATTGGTAAGCATACACATAATTTAATTATCTGGTAGTTGAAGGATGAAACTAAATGTTTGTACTATATAGCTGAGTTTCATTTGACACTAGTAGCTATTTAGAATTTATCAATAGTTCAGCAACACGGCTAAACGGTTTTTCGAACTAAGTCATAATTATCAGTATGGGGATCTGTTGAGACTAATATTTCCGCAGTTGAAGTCACGAGTCTACCTAAGCTAGACTGCCAGTGAAAAGTCATAATTGTTTGGTAAGTCAATAAGCAGTAAACATTACAGGTAGTGAGAATCAATGAATTCAAACAGAAATTTCACGATGGATAGTTTTATCCATTGTGAACTGGATTTTCTATAAAAGTTATGCTAACTAGTTATCAAAACCCATAAAAATATCATAGGTAATGACAGTTAGGGCATTCTTTGGAAAAACTGGGCCAGTGTATATTTTATTTTCCCACTGCCAGGCACCTGACGTTCATAATGACCCGTCTCTGTGATAGGAAGACAGTTCTTTTCTACCTCAACAAGTCGAGGTAACGTGTCTCGTGACGCTTGACTACACCGTTTACCGACCCTGTGTTTTCATAAGTTGTGGGTGGCTAGTCCTTTGTCCTAATAAATTAAAGCTTCAAGATAACCTCCAATTGATTTGTGAGCTTTTTTATTCACTTACCGTTTCGTGGTTTACTGTTTCTCATTGTTTCTATTCCTTGTTTCCAGATATTTTACGTCTTATTAGGACTTAATTTTAAAGGTTTTTCAACATCATGATTTTTGGTGAGTCTAAAGCTAATACTGAAACTGTTCACGAATGTACACATGTAACAATTTGGACAGATATATTAACATATAAAAAATTCAGTAACCAAGCTTAGGTTTGCATACATCAAGTGTATTTGATACACTTTAGGTTAACAGAAAAGTTGGAAATTTAATAACTGAACAGTTGTCACACTTATCGTCACATTCTCCACTGAATAATTCGGTAAAATGTTCTTTCAGGAGGGTTTCGAACTACTATAACGCATTCGACGACAGAAACACTCAGTTAGACTATTTGTTTTACTCCCCACAAGAGACATACATATATGCATTGGTTTTGGACATAAGGATGCTAAAAAATCATGACCATTTGCAATGTTTCTCAAATGTCCTGACTTTATTCCATAAGGTAATATTATCATTTCAAAGATTTATACTAGGTAGCATATATCTTCAAGCGCTTAATCCAAGAAGCTCGCCACATAAATAAATTCCACTGGCTATAAGAGCATTTCACGTGATCTCGGGAAATTAATTGACCCAAACATGAGCGTCTAGAAAGTCAAGTGCCCCTTCTATTACTGATCACCATTTATAAGACAATCATACATTGGTAATCGAAAAAATCTGAAAATCAAAGTCTTACCTTCAGCAATAACCGACTCCACAACTAGTGTAAAACTACCCACCCTAAAATTACGCCCGACAGTAGCAAGATGTGGTCCTTGATGATTGCCAAGATTGTTATATGATACAAATCCTTCATCAGAATCCCCTTGAGCAAGGCGTGCTAATATTTTTTTCATTCGTGGCAGAAATAAATCCTGATAAGTGTAAGCCAACCACACCACCGCGCATATTCCCTGTGACTTAAAACGAGCAAACAGCTGATGTCTATTTGCTAATCCAAAGATCAAGGTCGTATTTTCAACGCATTGTTCAATAATATTAATTGTCTCAATGACTATCTAAAATGCCCATGATTTGCGAAAAATAACCTTCAAGAACCGAAGAAATGATTATTTGACAAGGCGATGAAACTCACCTAGATATCTACGATGGTTAATGTATGGTAATGAGATTTGTCTTCACATAGATTACCTTCTAACCCTATGACTCTTTTATTATGATACATTATTACTCACCCCAAGAGATACATATTAATTTTGTACGGAGGAGGTGAACGATGTTTTACGGTTTTATTGTGTGAATGAGGTAAGTATTGAGTAACGCTATCGATAATTCGGAAGAAAGTACGTCAGATGCCTTTGAACAAAAATGGCGCAGGTTCTGACCACATCTCCCAGAAAATATTGTTTGGTGGCCACACTTTATTTTGACAAATGACACCAAATCTGAAGTGCTAGTGACATCGAGAGAGGTGGTCAGCTTGATAGATTTCTGTGGATCGAAATAATACCATTTTTCACTTAGTGAGAAAATTACCCCCATATATACTGCGGCTTCATTTATTAAGTCACCAATTGGAAGTGCAGTAAATCCAATGTGGGAGACCGGAAGGACCAGTCAAATAGCTAGGGAAATGAGGAGATACAATTTGACGGTATTCATAATCATTGGAACCCATTGAACCAAGGCTGGACAGAAAAGGATAGATTCGGGAAAGATGCTGCTGTACTCCGGTCACGAAAACGCTCCATACACTCAAAGATTTGCTATGATGCCGTCCAAAGAAACTCGAAATTCACTTATAGGATGGGAATCTCATGGACCCAGGATCATCAAAGCATCATTCAAAACTAAGAAGGAGAGAATCACAATGAATGTTATCCAGTGTTATGCACCCACCAGTGATAGCAATGACCACGATAAAAATCAGTTGCACGAGAGGTCGCAATCGGTCATAGTTGGGTGTTCAGGAAAAAAGCACGAAAATTCTAATGGGTGATCTAAACTCGAAAGTAGGAATGAACAACATCGGATATAACGATATCATGGGACGGCATGGACTGGGAGAAGGAAACGAAAATGGGGAGGAATTCGCAAATTTACGTGCATTCAACAAACTGGTTATAAGCGGCATAATATTCTTCCACAAACTCATAAATAAAGCTACATGGCTCTCACAGGACCACACTACACAGAATTAGGTCGATCATATTTGCGTCAGTGAAAAATTCGCGAGATCAATAGAAGACGTGAGAACCAGGAGAAAAGCTGACATAACTCCAGATCACCACCTGGTGATTGCCAAGATTAAACTGAGGCTGAAGAAGCACTGGACAACTGGACAACCAGCATCACAAAGATTCCTTCGAGGAATCCAAGATAATTCTCAACAACTGACTTCAAGCCTTACAAGATCTACCGAAAGAAGAAGGAGCTACTATGGAGGACAACTGAAAAGAGATCAAAGAAGCACTAACTTCAACGTGCCAGGAGATGCTGGGCTGCAAGAAGCATCATCGTAAGAAATCAATCTCTATTGAAACCCTGTACAAGATTAAAAAAAGGAAGAACAAGAAGACAGCGATTAACAACAGCCGAACAAGAATAGAGATAATCAAGGCACAAGTTGAATACACAGAAGCAAACAAGCGAGTGAAGAGGAGAATTAGAGCCGACAAGCAGGAACATGCACAAGAGCTGGCAACGACAGAGGAGAAAGCTGCAAGGGAAGGAAATATGAAACAACTGTGTGACACGACGAAGAAACAATAACTAAGATTGAAGAACAGAGGAACAGATGGGTAGAACACTGAAAATCTCTTCAATAGACCACCTCTATTGAATCCACCGAACTTCAAGACAACACACACACAGACATTTCTATACACGTCACACCAACAACGACCGACGAAGTCCGGATGATTATCAGACAAATCAAGAGTGGGAAAGCAGCAAGACCTGAAGACATGCCAGCTGAAGCACTGAAGTCAGACATAGAAGTAGCTGTAAACATGCTCCACGTCCTATTAAGGAAGATGTGGGAGGAAGAACAAGTGCCGACAAACTAAAAAGAAGGATACCTCATCAAGATACCAAAGAAAGGAGATCTGAGCAAGTGTGATAACCACAGAGACATCACACTACTGTCGGTATCAGGAAACGTTTTAAACAGTGTTACTAAACTGGATGAAAGATTCAGTAGACACTCAGCCTCGAGATCAACAGACAGGATTCCGTAAGGATTGGTCGTGCTCAGACCAAGTCGTGACACTACGGATCATTGTTGAGCAATCGACTGAATGGAACTCGTCACTACACATCAACGTCCTTGACTATGAGGTGTTTGACAGTGTGGATAGAAGGACCTTATGGAACCTTCTTCGACACTGTAGTGTATCTGAGAAGATGCTCAACATTACACAGAATTCATACGACAGACGGAGAAAAGCTGACAGACGCATTCCAAGTGAGGACTGGAGTCAGACAAGGCTGCTTACTCTCTCCCTCTCTCAATGTTTCTCCTGGTGGTCGAATGGATTATGAAGGCCTACACATCTGAAGGGAAGCACGGAATACAAAGGAAAGCTGGGAATCAACTAGACGATTTGGACTTTTTAGATGCGATGTTGTACAGTGTGGATAGGAGGACAACAGTCGAACGAGAACAGAGAAGTCAAGGAACATGCCGGATAATAAGTGGGTATGTGTTACGTGCAACACGGATGCTGTAGTCTTACTGAGCAACATCACTGTCCTATTGACAGGTCTGTAGAATTATGGTCTACTATGTTATTGGTGCTGTTCTAATAATAGACCTAATCCAAAAATTGTAGATTCGTCCTTATATAACTGCCTAATCATAACCACACAATCCTCAAAGCTGAACACGAGACTACTCGGAAAATAGATATTGAATATTTAACGCGGAGGAATACCCAACAATGGAGAAGGCGGGAATAAGGAATTGAGTAAATTGGGGTTGATGGTATGGCATGGCTCGGCCATGCAGGCGTGGTCCCAGCTGAATGTTATCTCTTATCTTTTATTCATATTAAATATATTGTTCCATATCTAGCCTAAGCTTGTTCTCTATCATGTATTGGTAATTGTTACGATGCGATGAGGTGGTGTAGATAATAATGTGACTTCCACGTGAGATCTTATAGGTTAGGCAGTTGCATCATGACAAATCTACAATTTTAGGATTAGATCTATTATAAGAGCAGTGCTAATATCATAGTAGACCATAATTTTACAGGGTGTCCTGCTAGCTAGTCATTTACTGAAATCCGATGGGAACGTCAAAATACTGCCCGACATCCCGTATTCTGAGCGCAATCTCATCTGGAACATCCCTAAACAATCTCGAGGGAAGTTTTTTCCGCGGAAGAAATATAATCGTGCAAGGTGTACCGGAAAACACGGACCCTACTCAAGCAAACTCTGACATTCGGGAACGAAAATTCATCAAATAGTCCATGAGGCTCAAAAACATACTGCCTGAGCATGTGATGAGTCTAATGAGGATAACTTTCCCATCCTCAAATATGGCGGCTGTGGCTCTGGAAGCATTTCGTGTCAACAGACGTCGGTTGCCAACTGGGATCCACATGCATCCGGACAGGCCATATGACGCTAGGATCAAGCACAAAGGCAAGCTGGAACTGACCATTTCACTTGTGGACTGTCTTGAAGATAAAAAAACGTGTAAAGGACAGGGCCTATCAATTCAGCGAACCTTATAAAGGTAGGCTACCTGTCCACTCACGTAAGGCTCATACAGATGAACAGGAAGAAGCTCACGTGTTTCAAATTGAAAGCATTAACTGCTTATACATGAACGACACAAGTCTACCAAATAAAATGGATGAGCTACTTGAACTAAGCGATGCTAAACAGGTTCATCCAATAGGAATATCTGAAACTTGGATATCTTCTCAGTTTTCGGATCAGGAGCTAGCAATACCTGGGATGTCTCTGTTTCGCAATGACAGAAAAATAGGAATTGGGGGTGGAGTATCCCTATTCATACGATCTGGCTTGGAGGTACACCAAGTTCACAACCATGAGTTTGACAATCTTGAGGAATCCATATGGTGCTCTGTGAGATTGTCCACTACTTCGAGGTGCCTAGTCGGAGTCATACATAGGAAGCCCACTGCTGACATTGAGCATGACAGTCGTGTGCTGGAAGGACTAGCCTGCTCTACTCGTCTCAGTTTCACTCATGTCCTGATTCTAGGGGAGTTCAATCTCCCTAGAGTCAACTTCGCGGAACATACGTATATTGGAGGTGAAAATTCGATTGTAGCTCGGTTCTTCAACCTCATTGAGGATTTGGGATTATACGAAAATGTGAAGTCGGCTACTCTTTGGAGGAACAGTCAGCTTGATAGATTTCTGTGGATCGAAATAATACCATTTTTCACTTAGTGAGAAAATTACCCCCATATATACTGCGGCTTCATTTATTAAGTCACCAATTGGAAGTGCAGTAAATCCAATGTGGGAGACCGGAAGGACCAGTCAAATAGCTAGGGAAATGAGGAGATACAATTTGACGGTATTCATAATCATTGGAACCCATTGAACCAAGGCTGGACAGAAAAGGATAGATTCGGGAAAGATGCTGCTGTACTCCGGTCACGAAAACGCTCCATACACTCAAAGATTTGCTATGATGCCGTCCAAAGAAACTCGAAATTCACTTATAGGATGGGAATCTCATGGACCCAGGATCATCAAAGCATCATTCAAAACTAAGAAGGAGAGAATCACAATGAATGTTATCCAGTGTTATGCACCCACCAGTGATAGCAATGACCACGATAAAAATCAGTTGCACGAGAGGTCGCAATCGGTCATAGTTGGGTGTTCAGGAAAAAACACGAAAATTCTAATGGGTGATCTAAACTCGAAAGTAGGAATGAACAACATCGGATATAACGATATCATGGGACGGCATGGACTGGGAGAAGGAAACGAAAATGGGGAGGAATTCGCAAATTTACGTGCATTCAACAAACT